GATCCCGGACGGCCGCCATGGGCACATGGTGAGCCGTCCTCCCCGGGCCTGCTGGGTTTCGGGGGCCGCTTCCTTCGGGGTGAGTAGACCGAGGGGGGGAGGCCTCTGGGACTGGGCAGGTCCGGGGCCCACCCGCCGCCTTCATGGGGCGGTGAATGGGATTTGGGAGGGGCGCGACCTTGGGCCTGGGTTATTTAAACCTCCAGCTGCCTCCTGGCAGCTGGTGGGTCTCAGGACGGGGCGTCTCATGCCTGGATCCCGGACGGCCGCCATGGGCACATGGTGAGCCGTCCTCCCCGGGCCTGCTGGGTTTCGGGGGCCGCTTCCTTCGGGGTGAGTAGACCGAGGGGGGGAGGCCTCTGGGACTGGGCAGGTCCGGGGCCCACCCGCCGCCTTCATGGGGCGGTGAATGGGATTTCGGAGGGGCGCGACCTTGGGCCTGGGTTATTTAAACCTCCAGCTGCCTCCTGGCAGCTGGTGGGTCTCAGGACGGGGCGTCTCATGCCTGGATCCCGGACGGCCGCCATGGGCACATGGTGAGCCGTCCTCCCCGGGCCTGCTGGGTTTCGGGGGCCGCTTCCTTCGGGGTGAGTAGACCGAGGGGGGGAGGCCTCTGGGACTGGGCAGGTCCGGGGCCCACCCGCCGCCTTCATGGGGCGGTGAATGGGATTTCGGAGGGGCGCGACCTTGGGCCTGGGTTATTTAAACCTCCAGCTGCCTCCTGGCAGCTGGTGGGTCTCAGGACGGGGCGTCTCATGCCTGGATCCCGGACGGCCGCCATGGGCACATGGTGAGCCGTCCTCCCCGGGCCTGCTGGGTTTCGGGGGCCGCTTCCTTCGGGGTGAGTAGACCGAGGGGGGGAGGCCTCTGGGACTGGGCAGGTCCGGGGCCCACCCGCCGCCTTCATGGGGCGGTGAATGGGATTTCGGAGGGGCGCGACCTTGGGCCTGGGTTATTTAAACCTCCAGCTGCCTCCTGGCAGCTGGTGGGTCTCAGGACGGGGCGTCTCATGCCTGGATCCCGGACGGCCGCCATGGGCACATGGTGAGCCGTCCTCCCCGGGCCTGCTGGGTTTCGGGGGCCGCTTCCTTCGGGGTGAGTAGACCGAGGGGGGGAGGCCTCTGGGACTGGGCAGGTCCGGGGCCCACCCGCCGCCTTCATGGGGCGGTGAATGGGATTTCGGAGGGGCGCGACCTTGGGCCTGGGTTATTTAAACCTCCAGCTGCCTCCTGGCAGCTGGTGGGTCTCAGGACGGGGCGTCTCATGCCTGGATCCCGGACGGCCGCCATGGGCACATGGTGAGCCGTCCTCCCCGGGCCTGCTGGGTTTCGGGGGCCGCTTCCTTCGGGGTGAGTAGACCGAGGGGGGGAGGCCTCTGGGACTGGGCAGGTCCGGGGCCCACCCGCCGCCTTCATGGGGCGGTGAATGGGATTTCGGAGGGGCGCGACCTTGGGCCTGGGTTATTTAAACCTCCAGCTGCCTCCTGGCAGCTGGTGGGTCTCAGGACGGGGCGTCTCATGCCTGGATCCCGGACGGCCGCCATGGGCACATGGTGAGCCGTCCTCCCCGGGCCTGCTGGGTTTCGGGGGCCGCTTCCTTCGGGGTGAGTAGACCGAGGGGGGGAGGCCTCTGGGACTGGGCAGGTCCGGGGCCCACCCGCCGCCTTCATGGGGCGGTGAATGGGATTTCGGAGGGGCGCGACCTTGGGCCTGGGTTATTTAAACCTCCAGCTGCCTCCTGGCAGCTGGTGGGTCTCAGGACGGGGCGTCTCATGCCTGGATCCCGGACGGCCGCCATGGGCACATGGTGAGCCGTCCTCCCCGGGCCTGCTGGGTTTCGGGGGCCGCTTCCTTCGGGGTGAGTAGACCGAGGGGGGAGGCCTCTGGGACTGGGCAGGTCCGGGGCCCACCCGCCGCCTTCATGGGGCGGTGAATGGGATTTGGGAGGGGCGCGACCTTGGGCCTGGGTTATTTAAACCTCCAGCTGCCTCCTGGCAGCTGGTGGGTCTCAGGACGGGGCGTCTCATGCCTGGATCCCGGACGGCCGCCATGGGCACATGGTGAGCCGTCCTCCCCGGGCGGCCAGTGCGCCATTGGTGCCAGGCTCCGCCTGCTGGCCGCCCGGCTGGGGAGCTCTGGGGATTTGGTTCTTTGAGTTGCTGCTTAATTAGCTCCAGGTTGAACCCATTGTGCTTCTTGGACCTGAAAGAGGCAGTAACTCTTCCTTAGCAAAACTTGTAATCACTAATAATTCTGAGCACCAAATACCAGTCATGCAGAAGCTATGGCTTGGGGCTTGCCCTGCACAAGTAGCTCCAACAGTTGGCCAATGTGTCAACTGGTAATGGAACAGAGTAGATTAGGCACGACTGAGCAAACCTTAGCCCACAAGTAAAACTAGAAACCAGGAGGGAGCAGAGGTCATGCCGAGCTAGGCTCTTGTACCTGCTGGTCTGTGGGAGCCTGGGACGCTAAGCCACAGTGTCTAAGGCAGAGTTCGGGACAGGGGAGGGGTTGTGCCAAGCTGAGTCAGAGCATCCATTGGCAGGCATGTGATCTATGCCTGGGAACGGACCCGGTTGGGGAGCAAAGGGGACAACCCTAGCTGGGCTGAGGTTCCCACCAAGAGGCGCGTGGCCTGGAAGGGGGCTGCGTTCTGATCTGGAAACAGTTGTAGTCTCCCTTGGCACAAGTGTGGACTGGGATTGGATGCACCGAACTGGGCCGGACCCCGACTCCCCCTGGTGTTCTGGAGGACCAGGGCAGATGTGGGATGGACTAGGCAGGGTCTCAAACCCCTACTGAGCCATGTGTGAGCCATACGTGGGTATGGACAAACCATGGCTGGGCTGGAACATCCAACAGCAAGAACCAGATTGGGTTGAAGGCCAGTCAGGAAAAGCCACAGTTCCTGCTATGACAGGAGGTGGACTGAGTAGGGTTGGCTCATGGACCCACTGGTAAGCGTGAAACCTGGCATTGGGAGAGGTTCTGATGGAGGAGCCTGGGCAACTCCTCTGGCAGGACACAGACCCAGCAGGTAAACGCAAGAAACATGATAGGAAACAGCCCAGAAAAGGCCATGGAAACCTACCCACTGGCATACAGTTGGCAGACGTGGGGGCAAGACCAGGCTGAATCTGTCCACATCATCCACTGGCAAATCCAGGCACCAGTGTGGGTCGACCCAGGGTCGGTCGCAACAAAGACTAGTGCACATTATGGAATGCCGAGGTGAGGTTGCCTGTACCAGAAGGGACCGCAGCGCCCAACCAGCCTGAGAACAAGCAAGGAAGTGGGCAGAGCTGGCAGGGGAATAAGGGAGGGTTCCTTTGCTGGACAGCTACTTCCGCAGGAGAGCATGGGCTGGGATGGGGGCAGACCAGACTAGGCAGAGCTACCACACCTGTGCGCCTCATGTGGACTAGATCAGGGAAAAGCCAGGCTGGGCGGATTATTCCTACTGGTGCAAACAAAATTAAAGTGGGCGAGGTTTGTTTGGGCAGCATCAACTGGAATCTGGGAGTGGGAGAGGCCTGGGAGGGAAATAGTGGGCTCATCCCTCTTGGGTTACCACTTCCACGGGAGGACATAAAACTAAGACAGCGGCTGGGGTGGAATGGGATGTGGGACAGACTGGATTACTGCTACACTTACTGGCAAACCAGGGTAGGGGGTGGGCCTGGTTGGGGTTATTGTGGGTCGCTCCAACCTAGGCTACAGCTCCCGCTGGTTTATGTGAGGGCCAAGTATGTGCTGGGCAGAACCAGACTGGACTGCAACACCCATTGGCTCCAGTGGAAGACGGGAGTGAAAACAGAACCAACCCAGGAATTGCAACCACCAGCTGATTGGAGCGATGGACGGTGCCAGGCCCTGTACTTGTTAGCACATACAAGAAGTTTCTTTGGAGATCTTCCTAATCTAAATGCTGGACTCAGAACCATAACAAAGAAAAGAGAGAAGACAGAACGGGTCAACCAACCATCTAAGCTATGATGGACTATGTCAATCAGTGGATTTTTCAAAGACCTCATAGTGCTTGGAGCGGCAAGATTGACAGCGATTCATAACTGTTGCAATATCAAAACCACTTGAGCAAGAACCTCAGAGCATGCCCTACACCCGGGACTTGGGGAGGGTGGGAAATTGGGTGGGCCTTCTCCCTTAATACCCCCCTTTTAAACATGAAGGTAACAATATGGAAAACATATTAGAATAATGTGCATTTCTATGAACTTTTTTGAAGACCCCCTCCTATGCATGTGTTTTCAAAATTTGGGGGGCCAGAATCATTTTCTCCCAGTGGGCAGCTGGTGCAACAGTGAAGCGCTTGCTTGGGACAGCGACCTCCCTGATTTGTGTGCGTAGTTCAAGACCTGCCTCCTTTGTTCCCAGCCCAGCTTCCCGCCACTGTGTGCTCTGCAAAGCAGTAAATGATGGTCCAAATGACTGGTGTCCTGCTACCCATGTGGGAGACCTCAAATGAAGTTGTTCTCTTCACCCCAGCCTGGCCCGTCCTTGGCCTTTGCAGAGTGAACTAGCCAAAAAGACGAGCCCTCTGTTTCTTTGCCTTCTAAGTGCAATGGAGATAAATGATTTCAGACTAAAGTTATCTTCCAGTTCTACTTTCCACAGGCCTCTTGGCATCTCTCTGTAGGTGACAAGAGTTGAAGGTTCAGTCCCAGAGCTTGCCGAGTTTCCTTGAGAGAAGTCTGTGAGGTTTCCGTGACATCTGTGGCAGGAACCCAGCACCAGCACCCGGGCTTGGGTGTCACTCCTAGACATGCCCAGTCAGTTCCCCTGTGGAGAAGCTGCCGTGAACTGCAGCTGCACTCTCTGTTTATTCGTCAGTCCCGGATTGTCCTAACCCCGTGAGCAGGAGCCCTTGCGATGGACCGACTTCTTCTAGGGTGCCCTCCACGGGGAAGGACCTGCCTTTTCTAGAAGTCAGACACGCCAGAAAGCAAACACGTGTATGTCTCTGTGTTTGTGCTGCAGGTGGGCAAGTGGGAGAACCAGACCCTGAGCCTGAGGCATGCTGTGTGGCCCAGGTACAAGTCCTTCTCTGACTGCGAGCCTGACGACAACCACCTGAGCATCGTCACCCTGGAGGAGGCCCCCTTTGTCATCGTGGAGGACATAGACCCGCTGACTGAGACGTGTGTGAGGAACACCGTGCCGTGCCGCAAGTTTGTCAAAATCAAGTGAGTGCCGGGGATGCCGTGGGCTGGACGTGTAAGTCATTGGTAATGCAGTGTCTGTGACTTAGCAGTAAGATGTTACACTGGGAATACTGTTGTAACGGCTGTTAGGCATTCACAGGCTCGTGTTTATGATTGTCTGAAGATGCACCAGACTTACATCCGTTAACTTCCAACAGCAGTATGAGCTGAGTGTCTTAGGCACAGTACAGTTGATTCATTTGAGTTATAGGCAGGTTAAAGAACATGCCTGAAGCCACCCAGTTAATGAGTGAAAGACGTAAGACTCAAACACCGATCCAGCTGACACGCACTGTGGTCAGTCAGCCCTCAGCCCTCTGAAGCCTTTCCTTAGACAGTTTCCTTTTTTAAAAAAAAAAAATATTTTATTAATATTTTGGGTCTTTTGGGTCTTTTAATATTAAAAGTGTTGGGTGCAGGGTCCCAAGACTTTGGGCAATCTTCTACTGCTTTCCCAGGCCACAAGCAAGGGGCAGGATGGGAAGTGGAATAGGACTCAAACTGGTTCCCATCTGGGATTCTGGTACATGCGAGGCGAGGATTTAGTCATTGTGCCATTATACTGGGTCCAGATGGCAATATTTCTTTTCTAAGTTTTTTTCTGATAGCTTCTTTTTGCCTTAAAAGACAACTTGGCTCCCCTGCCTCAACATAGGCTGGCTCTCTCTACTTCCCAGTACCTGGGATAACCCCTGTGTCTCTCCAGATTGCCAATTTTATGGTTTATACTTTGTCTTTCATCCTGAAAAAAGCCTCAGTGTAAGTGGGTGTGGCTGTTACATCTTTGTGTCCCCAGTTGAGAATCCAGAGCACAGCACACCAAGGTTTGTTGCATGAGCATAGAGTGAATGTACGGTTACTTTTATTCCCACATTTCAAACTCCAACCTTAGCGATTGTTAGCCAAGATGCAAATTCTCAGATCAATACCTGGGGTCTATCTACTGAACGTATATGATTGTTAAATGTTTTACAAAGGCATATTTTGGTCTGAGGAAAATTTTATCAACAAGGTCATTAGCTTTAGCCTCTTTGCAGATCGTGTGGTTAAATAAATAGACACTTTTAAGGCACACCAAGAAAGGGCAGGTGGGAAATGCTTTAAGTTGTTAGAAGTGATGTTTTTTGAGAGGAAAACAAATATGTGCCTGTATGTTGAACATATCGTCAGTAAAATCCCAATATCCTCAAATTCTTGAGGGAAACAGAGGAAATGTAAGTGCTTACATGAGAAGAACGTTGGATATTTTATTCAGCCTTTCAAATCGGCAAAGTGAAAGTTAAACTTTCTTACCTTATGAAAGTGATGAGGTTCATGTGGGTTGGTTGGTAGGTGCTAGCAAATCAGCTGGACATAGCTCCGTCTGACTTGCGTGTCTATGCTTACCTCCAGTGGCCACCCTGAGAAATCGTAGGCAATTGAATGGATCTCTATTCCTAAGCCCATTTTATGGGTCATCTGTTATTACTATTACTATTATTATTATTATTGAGTGGTAATGGGGAGCAGACACTGAGGGGGAGGGGGCTACACTGTGACTGCTTCTCAGATATCAGTGTAATGAAGTCACACACACGGAATAGTAACCACCAGATGTTCACAATTACAAGCTGAGCTGTGCTCCCATAATTGTCGTGATAAATTGAACTATCCCGTTTGCGGAATGTCTTTTGCGTCCTTTGTCCCCAGGGAGTAGTTGTCCAGCACAGAGTAGGTTCTCAGCATATGAAAATATATCAGGGACCATCTGTATCTAGAAATACATCTCATAGTCAAGGACTTGGGGATATAATTAACTCAGAGACTGGCTGTTTCCAGTAGTGCCAAAGAATGCTACTTTATGCCTTTGGCCCTGGATCTGAAAGAAGGGACATTCATAGTTTCTGGTTAAGCCATCCTGGTGTGGTGACCAGGTGGATGAAGAACTTGTGGTGGAAGGACAAAGGAAGAGGCTGAGACCGTGATGGGGACAGAGATGAAGAGAGAAGGGGAGGAGGCATTGATGCTTGACATGTAGTGGCAAAGAAGCAGAAGAGGGAATTCTATTGTGGACGTTCTTGTATTTCTTTATATGGGTTTAAAAGGCAGAGATGGGGATTTTAAGAGAGTACTTGCATTTAGTGGTTCACTCCCCAGATGGCTGCAGCAGTCGGGACTGGGCCAGGCATCCCATCTAAGTATCCCAAATAGGTAGCAGGGACCCAAAGACTTGATTCATTGCCGTGTTTAACTAAAATGCAGGCATCCCCACTGGCACCTTAACTACTACGCTATGATACCCGCCCCTGTTTTGATATATATTTCCAGGACCATAAATGCTAAGAAAAAATATCTGGGCATGTCATTCACTTGATGTTGGTAGGACACATTTCTATCATATTTATGGCAGTTTAGCTAATGGGATGTCCCAGCATCAGTCAAGTGTGCCCCTTGAAGACGTCTTGGCCCACCTATGTGCATTGTCTAAATAAGTCTTGCTATCAGAGTAGAAGATGAGATGACTGAACTCTGGCTTTATGAAGCTCTATGTGTCATAAATGTTTAAAAATAAGAATTAGTAACTTAGAACAAGCATAATGGCATATCAGGCTAGTCCTCTATCTATGGAGCCGGCATCCCACATGGGTGTTGGCTTGTGTCCTGGCTGCTCCACTTCTGAGCCAGCTCCCTGCTAATGGTCTTGGAAAGCAGCAGAGAATGGCACGTGTGCTTGGGCCCCTGTATATGGGAAATCCAAAAGAAGCTCCTTCCCCAGACCAGCCCAACTCTGGCCATAGTGGATAGTGGCCATGTGGGCAGTGAACCAGCAGATAGAACATTTCTCTGTCTTCCCTCTGTAATTCTGCCTTTCAAATGAAAGAAAAAAACCCCACACATTAAAAAAAAAAATCATTTAGCTTAGTATCTAGCATATAGTAATTATTCAGTAAGCATTAGCTATTGTCATGATAACGGTTGCAGCTAAGAACACATTCTTCTCTTGCTGCTGTGCCTCCTGGAGAAGTCACTTCCTTTTGTTGACCTTCAACTTTGGAAAGGTGGAAGGGAGAGTATAGTTAATGAGTTAAACAAGTCTTCCAGTACTAACGGCCTGTGGTCCTGGGGTTTTCCTTGCAGCAATTCCACCAACGAGGGGATGAACGTTAAAAAGTGCTGCAAAGGGTTCTGCATCGATATCCTGAAGAAGCTCTCCAGGACAGTCAAGTTCACTTATGACCTCTACCTGGTGACCAACGGGAAGCACGGCAAGAAAGTGAACAACGTGTGGAATGGAATGATTGGGGAAGTAAGTGATCTTCTCATCCCCAAGGTCCCAGGCAGCGTTGGGCAGAGTCAGGTAAGGTGCTGTTGTACCTGTCTCGCACGCAGGTGGTCTACCGGCGAGCGGTCATGGCAGTTGGCTCGCTGACCATCAACGAGGAGCGTTCGGAGGTGGTGGACTTCTCAGTGCCCTTCGTGGAGACAGGGATCAGCGTCATGGTTTCCAGGAGCAACGGCACCGTCTCACCTTCTGCTTTTCTAGGTGCGTGACCTTCACAAGGAATGCTGCTCTCCTATAACAAATCACCATTATAACAAATCGCTGAGAGCGTGGGAACAGACCAAACTGCGTCTAGTCCAATTTGCCCATGTCAGCGTGTTCCAGAGCTTGTGGCACTTGGATGATCCCAGCTCACACTCTCCCCGCTACCCAGTTCACCACTCATTTATTTCTCAGTTGCAAGTCTCTGCTGAAAGCTACCATCATATATTCAGATACTGATCTTGACTCTGTAGAATGTAAATTAATAGATATATTGCTTTGAGCCTTGAAAACATTAAAAAAAAATAAACCTGTCTGTCCAGAGTTAATTTAAATCAGTGCATAAAGCTTTACGCTGCGTCCATATACTCATCTTGCATCCCACGCTGTGATGGCAGTCATTTATTTACTAGATACAAGAGGGAAAATAATGACTGCGCAGTGATTTATGCCAGTACACTGCAAACAAAATAGTAGTCCGAAGAATGTACACTGATTTGAAATTAATGGAATCATATTTTAAATGCAGCCCTTCTTTAACCCAAATGGTTTGCAAAGCAGAAAGTTCTCTTGACTTTTCAAACTAATTCACAAGTCTATGCTTTTATATAAAGAGGTTACTTCTTTGGCTTTGTATATTTTCTTTTCCTTTAAGCCTTTCCTTAGTGCTAGAGTTGCATATGTGTTAGGCATTCCAGCTACAGTGTGGGAACTTTAAAGGAGGCAACCAAACCCTATTCATTTTTCTCTCTCAAGGAAAGTGTTGTGTTGACTTTGGCATAAATAATTTTCAGTAGTGGATATGTTGCTGAAGATTAGGTAATTCTGATTACCTCCCTCTTGGTGCTGCCATATAAGGGGATTTGTCTCGAATATCTGTGGAGATTAAAACAAATCTTAGGGGGAAACTGAGTCAGAATGGGGAGGGAAGAACAGTACTAGAAGCTGAATTCATTCTGTGTATTTTCCCACAGACAAGCAAAAAATGTATTATGGAGAACTGCGAACAAGATGCTTGAGTGCAAACCCTATGCCAGTGTCCTGGTCCTCACATGTCCGTCTGTGTGCACTGTTAGCAGCCGGCGGGACTCTTAGATCTACTTCTTAGAGTAAAATGTTGACTCCAGGATGGTGGATATACTGCTTTCTTTACTGAAGCATATGGGTTTACCAATCTTGTTGTATTTTTTGCTTTGTTTTGTATGATAATCTCGTTAAGTTTTTGAGATTCCTGCCTCTCTCACTGGGATTTGATTTGACACTTGCTGCTCCCATTCTTGTGATCTTTGTTGGGGACGTGCAAGCCTTGCTGGGCATACACCTTGTCATGGTCTGCACTATATCAGGGATAAAGCACCCCGTCTGACGCTGACAGCCCGCACGGAATGTTGGTGGCTGGTGAACTCACACTCACTTCTGAACCTCTCCTAGTCGTTTTGCTCATTTCCCAGAAGAGCCATTGACTGGTACATCTGCCCTCAGGGTTAAGAAAGGCTTGGGGAAAATTAATTCCTAGGACAAAAGTGTAAAGGATTATTTTCTTTTCACAAGTTACCTCTCTCCCCTTAGTGAGCTAAAGGTAGTTTTCCCCCAATCCATTCAGAAGTGGCGAGATATCAGTCAGCTCATTTCATAAAAATGGGTCGCTGATACTGAATCTGACCTCAACCCCTTTCCCTTAGGTTTTCATCTTACATGCATTGGTTCAACATTTCCGTAAAAATTCAAGCATTTCAGTAACTTTATCAATCCCTCATTCCTCCTGAAGTATCTTTAAAATTAAAATAAATTGTAGTCTGAGAAACTATTTTCAAAGCTGATTTTGCACAGTAGGATTAATATTTTTCCTAGTCACTAAATTACATCCCTATTTGATTGGCTGTGTACCCCCTTATTTAGGATCATTATCTGCAGGTTTTGAAAGTCGTAATGAGCCATGCTAAGCTGCATTTTTCCGTTCACTGGCTCAGTCATCCGGAAGAGCCCAAACGTTCAAAGTCTGATTGCATTGCTCTCCGTTCTTTGCTATTCTCCCTCCTCTACAAACTCCATTAACTCACATTGGAAACCCTCACAGGTTTTGCCTCTGAAGCTTTTGTGTGAAAACGTAGCCAGTGGCTCTTCAAGGACAGAGATGACGTCACTTGCAATATTTCCACCCAGTAAATCTTAAAGACTTCACAAACAGGCTGGATTCTTTGAGCCAGAGAAGCTGACCTGCAATCTCCTGTACTGAAAATCCTTCTTGGGCAAATGTTGATTCTGTTTTAAATCATTCGAGGATAGAATCTTGAGCTTTTAAAAAACTATTTGCAGCTCACTCTAAAGGAGCTGTAGGCAGTATATGATGCTGTTTTAATGGTTGAGCAAGTGGTGTGTGTGTCTGTGTGTGTGTGTGTGTGTGTGTGTGTGTGTGTGTGTGTGTGTGTATGTGTGTGTGAGATGCCTGAATATTGCAATCCTTCAACCTTGTAGGTACTTGAATGACTAGAAATGAAACTGAAGCAGAATCCTTTTTATCCCTGTGCCATGCTCCCATGTCAAAGGGCAGAGGTTGTCACTTCCAAGTGAGAAGGCTTCTGAGATCTATTGCTTGATCTGTTTCCACTTTATTTTCTGACCAATGTATTAGTGACAAGGATGCATCTGCCAAATGAAGCCCATGCCAGGTTTAAAGATTCTGACATGGGAATAGAAGAATTCAGCAAAGGTTTCCCCTCTGTCGTGTTCAGAAATAGAGGTTACCAAATTAATAAGTGTACTAGAAGGAAAGAAATAGAGGGAGGAGGGAGGAAGGAATGGGAAAGGGAAGGAGTGGGAGAGGGAGGAAGGGAGAGATGGAGGGATGGAGGCAGAGAAGGCTGTAGGAAGAGAGGGAGAGTGAGAGAGAGAGACTGATTCTATGGACAGCACCCTGTGCTGCTATGTGGTTTCAGCCATGCCATTCAATACACTGCTTGCAGCCAGTGTGCAAAGCACCCTGCCGAATGCTTTACCTGTCTGCTCATCCTCTCATCGCAGTGGTCCTCCTCTGATAAGGTATACATTGCCATTAGTGTATTAACTTGGAGAATTACATCAGCATCTTTATTTTTGAATACTAATCACTTTGTTTGATTTCCCAATTTATACTCATTTTTGAATGTAGTTCATTACCAAACTTCTTTAATTCTAGGGGTGTAACATTGGTTCTAAGCTAAAACTTAGCTAAAATCAATTTAAATTACAGGTTCCTTGATTTTTTTTTTTTTTAGAGCTCATGTTGTGTTAAGTAAGTTGTGTGGGTACCTGTTGCTTTGTAACACTCCGTCTGCTATTTAAGTTATGCAATATAGTTAGAACCTCAAATATGTTAGCTTCTGGCAATGAATTAATTTCAAAAGATTTAAATTCGTGATGGCCTCCAGGTGTGTTAGTCAGGCACAGACTATTACAAAAGGTGACCTGCTCTCACCTTGCCTCTTTGCTCTTATTAGTAGTTTCATCAGAAAAACAATTAGAAATGATAACGTTTACCCTACTCATGTCTATTATTTAAGGCATATACTCAAATTTATTGCATTTTACACTCAAAATACTTGCTGTGTCAGAGATATTTTGAGTTCTTTGGTTGTCCTAGGCAGATTCATAGGGTAGAAAAGCATTCATATTCAAAATTTTAGTCTCTAGTGATCAGCAAATATATATTGCAAGTACATCAGATGGCCTCAATTAGTTATTTCATGTCATCGATGAGGTCAAAGGCAAGTGCTACTTACTTTTATGTAATATTTTATCCCTATAGCATGTTGGAATCCTGTCACTTGGCTTGCCCCTTCTGAGTTGCCCATGAACTGCCTGAGTAACATGGAAAAGAAAAAAACTTCTAGGGAAAATGTTCCCACCAATTATTGCATTGTCTCTGCTCTACGTGAGGCTTTTTGGTAGGATTGTCATGTGAATGTTGTAGCCTCAGATGATCTCAGTTGCGTCAAACCCACACCGACAAGATTTATGAAACTGCAGATCTCATCTCTCTCCCTCGGGAGGGCACATGGGGTGTGGTAGTTGGGACAGATGATGGCCTTCCAGTACTCCTGTCAAGCTCATGATTTCACGGGCCTTTTCTCAGAGTACTTCTCTGTCTGTACTTCTCAAGTTCCCTGAGCCTCATATCCCCAGCACATAAAACTAAAAGTTTGAAGTGTGTTGACCAGCAGAAGCCCTATGGTTGGCTTGTTGGATCCAGTGTTGTTTTTTCATGGCTTTGGTCTCCTGGGTAGTTCTATAATTATATAGGACCCTGTGGCCTGTTGTTGGTAGCTTTAACTTTGTGCCTTGGTATTGCCATTCTTCTGTTTTACTTCGTTTTTCTTAGCCTTGACCTGATTTGTAAGACACTTTATGCTATTCTATTTTTAACATATTATAGGCAGATAGGCAGTCTTATAAAATGCCTCATCAGGTTTTATAGAATTAAGAATGTTTCAAACATGTGTACAAAAAAACCCGATCAGCCTCTTTTATGGTGATTGGATTCAAGTTAGAGAAGCATTCTTGATGATATGGTACATGGATGCCTGGGCTCCTAGGCTGTGGAAAGAGCTAACTGACCAGGTCTTCACCCCCTGTGTCCATCTGCAGAACCATTCAGCGCCTCCGTGTGGGTGATGATGTTTGTAATGCTGCTCATTGTCTCTGCCATAGCTGTCTTTGTCTTTGAATACTTCAGCCCTGTTGGATACAACAGAAACCTCGCCAAAGGGAAAGGTAAGGAAATCTTCCTGAGCACGACTCAAAGGTGATGCTCTTCTCATTCACCTTGAGTGAAGATTTCGGGTTTGGAAGGTCTGATTGCATGTTGCCTGGGTAGCAGCCTGTGAATGACGTGAGGTTGTGGATGTTCCTTATAGTGCCAGAAAGGAATGGTTTTATTCACTTCATTCAGTACAAAGTCAGTAGTTAGTGGAAGCTATTGATTTGTAGAATAGTTTTTTCTGGGATGGAGGGGGGTGGGGAACTAATTATAAAAATGTGTGTCCAAGTGAAAATTGTGGTAAGTCTCCAGTCTGTACGAAGAAAATGGGTTTATAAATTCTTAAGTGCATCCCTCAATCTTCTGAGTCACATTTGCATTAGTTTGATAATAAGCAAAATAGTAACATGGCATATTTTCCCAAAGAAGTACATATTCCTCTGACAGTGCCTCACCTTATTGCACTGTACTTGATAAAGGTGCAATCAGTAGATAGAACATTCAATTGGGAGATGCTTATTGGCTATAGTTTATTAAGAGTCTCCCACACATAAGCCAGTGTTTAAGATAAATGCATAAGCACATTACAGTACATCATTCTGAGTGGATTTTCCTTCATGTGCATTCTCAGTAGATGGTATCAGAAAGATGCCACAACAAATATCTCTCTCACAAAAAGTGATTTAAATTTTTGAAGGATATGAGACTTGAAAGTCTTACATGCCCTCAAAAATTGAACTGTATTCTTTTCACTTGGAAGATTTAAAATTGGAAACAACCAATGTGCCATACAAATCTATGACCCCGACTTGCTATTGACAATTGAAGACTGGTGCGAAAGGGTGAAAAACCACAAATCATCATGTTGCATTTGAGTAGGAGGCTGCCTGTTTTCACAGAAAGGGTGACATAGCTCTGAACGATATTTTTCTGTGGTCAGTTGTAGCAGGGCAGAATCAATCTCTACATTTGTTCGATCAGAGTTTGTACTGATATGAGCTCACACATACATTTGATGAATATTTATGGAGAGGGTACACTGTCAGGTGCTGCATTGGTACAAAGAATAACGTGGTAAATGAAAGACTTTCTGACCCACAGGGAGCTTAGAATTTGTTGTCGAGACATGTAAACACAGAATCAATAATTTCAGATTGCAATGTGTCTCAGGAAGAGTAAAACAGTGAAGTGATGCTGCGGGGGTAAGGCATCACTTTGGACAGAATTTTCTTTCTTTTTTCTAAAGATTTATTTATTTGATTGAAAAGTCCGATATACAGAGAAGAGGAGAGATAGAGAAGAAGATCTCCGATGATTCACTCCCCAAGGGACCACAACGGCCGGTGCTGTGCCGATCCCAAACCAGGAACTTCTTTCCGGGTCTCCCACATGAGTGCAGGGTGCAGGTCACAAGCAGGGAGCTGGATGGGAAGTGGAGCTGCCAGGATTAGAACCAGCGCCCATATGGGATCCCAGCGCATTCAAGGCGAGAACCTTAACCATTACGCTATCACACCGGGCCCAGGACAGAATTTTCTAATGGGGAAGGATGTTCAGACATTAAACAGAAACATGAAGGAAGAAAAGGACTTAGACATGTGCCAAGCAGAGCAAAGCATTCCATGCAGAAGAAATAACAAACACAAAGACCTTGAGGTGCAATCTGTCTTGGGGTGTTTCAGAAACAGAGGAGATCTGAGGCAATGATGCAGAAAGCAGTTAGATATGAAATCAGAGGGCCAGACAGTTGACTATGGTAGGCATTTCAGATTTCTTACCAAATACAATCCTACAAAACACACACACACACACACACACACAATGTGAGCCGGTCACTGAAGCTACTCGATCAAGGTAATGGGAAGGGACAGCAACACTGGGAGCAGAGAGACCAGCTAAGAAAATATCACAGTTTTCCAACAGAAAGAATTACAGCAGTTTGGACTTGGACAAGGATGATGAAGATAAATGGACAGGTTCGGAGAGGGGAAAAGTGACCCAAAGGCCACCCACACGATGCTGTCTCCCTTGGCTGACACACGTCTAGAAGACTGTTGTAAAGAAAAGAATCTAGCGTATAAACCCTCTACTCTTTCTTGAGTGGCGAAGCTTCCTGTTTGCTGCTTCTCTACACATGGCGAAGTTCAGGAAATGGCAGCTTCCTGTTTCTTTGTGCAAAACGTTTTTCTGTGTCATTTTCCCGCACTGCATGGGGGAAAGTGACACAACCCAGTCACAGCATCCATGAATGAAGAATCGCCAGAACGTTTGGACAGAACCCTAACAAAGACCTAGTTGCTGTTCTCTCTCTAGATAACTGGCTCTTCTGATCAACATGCATCCTTGATAACATTAAGTAGTTTCTGAAGTTAACTGGATTGACTATGACTATTTTTTTTTCCCTAAGAGTTCCCCAGAATCTTGGGAATAAGCCCAGAAGATCATAAAATCAGGAAAAGAGAAACAGGGCAATTGAGAATAATGGGGTTGTCTTCTTCTTAATGTGTTGTGTTATGGACATTATAAGTATGTCTGTAGCCTGAGTTTGGCCTCTAATGTGCAAGAGGTTTGCTTTTCCTAGGCTCTTTGCCCAGAATCTCATAACTTCAATCAATCTGAATTCACTTCCGCCACTTTATTTGTTGCCTACTTTGCCTACATTTCCAACTGCAGCCTCAGAAGATCATTTTTCATATCTTCATTTACTTAAATCACATAAAAAATTAACCTTGTGTGAAAGAAAGACCTTTCTTCCCCTCCTCTTAAAATGAGGACATAAATTGATTTCTTTTCCCTGTGCAAAACCAAGACTTGAAAACCCTAATGTGATTATTTTACAGCCTGCGTATGCCCCATCCCAGTAAATTTTAGCACATTGTTCTGCCTCTTTTGTTAAGTCTATTGTGAGGAACATTTAAGAGTCTTAAGATTGCTAAATCTTAGTTGTTACAGGGATACGTGGAGGGATGAAATGTGCTGTGATATCACAGAGCATCTTCCATGGCCTGGCAATGAAATGCCTTCCATCTGTAAAGTGTTGGAAGAATTAAGTTCTATTGTTCTGCTCCTTAATGTCTCCATTTGGAGAGCATTTTCACTGAGTCTAATTCCTGCATTGTGCACACTTCACAGCCGAGTTCCAACGGGAGCAATTGCTGGGGATGACTGAATTAGAATAGCAAGCACCAGTCCTGCTGAATTGTGTGGTTGGTGTGTGATGGCAAGGCTGATGAGTACAGACACAGCATCCCCCCAACCCCATCCCCCGCAACACACGTTTTTGTCAGGCTGTCTTTTACATTTATGAAGGAGATAGGTTCCCGCGAATGAAATCAAGAGCAAATTTAATACAGGTCGTGACACTACTTCTCATTCAAACTCCTACTTAGCATAACCATTTTTCTTTTCTTTCTATTGTGTTGAAAGAAAGTGACAATAATTTGGTTAGGAAGAAGTGATTGTGGCAGTGACTCTAGGGCAGTGGTAGGACGGCACCTCCAGTGTTCCTAACGGCCACTGCATTGCTTCCATTCATGTACAGCTGTTCATTTTGAGAAAATGCTGAGATTGTCCATTCTGTCCCTCACAGCACCCCATGGGCCTTCTTTCACCATTGGGAAAGCTATATGGCTCCTTTGGGGCCTGGTGTTCAACAACTCTGTGCCTGTCCAGAATCCGAAAGGGACCACCAGCAAGATCATGGTGTCTGTCTGGGCCTTCTTTGCGGTCATATTTCTGGCCAGTTACACGGCCAACCTGGCTGCTTTCATGATCCAGGAGGAATTCGTGGACCAAGTGACCGGCCTCAGTGACAAAAAGGTAAGGTCATCTTGTTTTCCTTTTCGCCTGAGGCGTGAGCTTACCTGTTCTCCCATCACAAGGGACTGAACTGGGCACCCGTCATCCAGACTTGGCAACTCCAGAGTATACAAACGGAGTGTTTTCATAACTCAACTTGGCATAGTGTTTAAGAAAAAAGAAAAGAAAAGAAAAGAAAAAACGACTTAGGATCAGAGCTGTGAACACAGGTCTCCAGATCTAATTTGGAAGAGCAGCTTGCCCAGGTGGGATCTTCCTGTGGATGTGCGTGAGACGTTGGGATTCAAGAGCACTGAAAAGCTCAAGCTGAAAGCCTTGCTTTCAGAGAGTGATGTCCGAAGAGGGCCATCAGCCTGGACAAGCAGAGACTTGGGGTGAGAGGGTGCCCCCTAGGCTCTGTGAACCCAGGTAGTGCAAACATGTATATCTCATAGCCTCCATGCTTGACTTCCTCACCGATGACCCCAGGGACACTGATTCTTCCAACACTGCTAAATTCCCAAGTCCTCTCCACTGGTGTTCGAATCGGCCTCCTCACCTGCACTTTTTTTTTGACACCTGAGATTTCTTGAAGGGACACGGAGGGGCAGAGCGGGTGTTCACGTCTCACTGGTCTCGTCTCTTCAGACACATTTCCTGCTTATCACCCCAGGAAGACGGGAGCAGCAGCACCTGCCCGCTCTGCTCATGGGGGGAACGGCAAAGGCAGGCAGGGTGTGAGTGGCTGTTCAGCACTGTGTGGAGTGGGAGGCAAGGGGTAAACAGGGCGCATCCTCCAACTGGAGTTTTAGTTCGGGAAACAAATCCTGACTTGCTGGGCTCAGCAGTGTGGAGCTGGCGGCCCTGCAGACGCTTTCCATTCCCTGAATGTGAAGATAATTTGCTTCTCTTTAGAAAGCCTCGCTGTCATATCTTGTTGACATAAGTCTACAGATATCCATTTGGCATTCATCAGCAAACTGCTGAATGGAAAATTAGTCCGTGAAAAGCCTCTACAGCGCATCGATGACATACCCCGTGTTGGGAAAAGGGTACAAGATCCCTGCTGAGCCAGACTGTGAAAGGTGGGGAGGAGAGCTGGGGTCACCTCCACAAAGGTGCGTGTGAGCACGGGGCCTCACGTGCCCCCTGTGCCCTCCAGGACCCATAAAACACTTTCACTTTTCTGGCTTCTCCCCCGTGTCCCTTCCCTTCCCCCCATGCCCTGCGGTCTCTTCTCCATTGTGTAAGCTCTAGGCTGATTTCCACCTCAGTGCCCCTGCACTTTCTTCATCCGCTGCCTAGAACGTTCTTCTCCCCTGCCCCCTACCCCCCCTCTCCTCCTGGCTGGCTGCCTTTGAATTTCAGGTCTCAGAGAAAACACCACCCAGCCTGGAGAGAGGTTTGTTTTGGTCTACTGAGCTGCTGAGAAACCTATGTTCTAGCTAAAGAAATAAATGATATAAAAAGCAAACATCAAGAGAGAAGACATGGGTGTGGCAAAGGGGACTAAAACTGGCCTGCAGGAAGAGGATATCAGAGATGGACTTGTGATAAAGGTGTGTGGCACAGAGGAGGCACTCAGGACATACTTGTTGGCTGGTGGGAGAAGCGCAGCCCGTGTTGGCCCCCCGACAGCAGCCACCTGTACCTCCTGGGAGCTCCTTTCCCATCCCACCTGCAGGTCACCCTGGCTGAGGAAGGCTGAGCCCAAGGGCCCTCAGAGGATGATCACCTCTGGACAGCAGGAGTATGAATTCTGCCAAGTCTGTCTCCAGGCAGTTTGCCCTCCAGGAATCCCCACAGGCTCAGCATCAATGAGACCTTGGGACATGGTCTTCTCTAGCTTCCTCCTCCTGCCCCTGCCTGGTTACCCCTAGAGCCCTCCCCTAGTAAATTGTGTTCAGCCAAACCTTTGTCTCAGGCCTGGCTTCTGGCAGACAGCCACCTAAGCACACATCCTCTGGCGAGGCTGGTATGCAGAGTCCAGAAACGTTGCTTCCAGATTCTTCTCTGCTATGAGCTAGTACTTTCCTTTCCCTCCCTGTCAATCTGGGAAACACAGCCACAGTGAGGAGGCAAGGAAAGTGCCCGTGGCTGTGTCCTGTGGTTTAGAAAATCCTCTGCCGCTACATGAGTATCACATGTTGGAATAAAAAATGCAATTCCTACAAGTGATTGGAAATATAGAATAAGCAGCAGGGAACCTAGTGCCGGGGGAGATGGTTTTGCAAGAAAGCATCGGGCAGCACATTTTGCCTTTTGTTGCTATTTGCAAAGGCAATGTGGGAAAAAAAATCCCTTGCTTATGTAGTTTTGCGTCCAAATAATATGACCACTTGTGGGAAGACTAATTAAAACCACTAATAATTTGAGTGACCTTCTGTGACTTGGAAATATGCATTAACAAATACCACATCCTCCAGAGACCCAGTTCAGCTCCCATGCTCAGAGCATAAGAGGCAAACTGATAGCTCTTTTAATTAAATGTTTGATACAATTAGATAAACAGTGAAATTCTTGGAGCAAATAAGCTAAATGCTCCCAGAAGATTAATAGCAGCAACACCCAGAAAGTTTGCAAGATAAAAATATATATTGAATCAGTTTATTTTAATTCAATGCACTGTTTGGTTTTGTTCTTTTCTTTTTTATCAGCAATACCTGTGTAACAGCTCAAGTTTACAATACAAGCCTTTAGTGCTGGAGTGAAGCAGGCATACTTGGAGCTTGTGATATGCTCAAATGTGCATGAGCTTGTCTCAGAAATAGGTGAATTCCTGGGTCAGTGCTCTCCTAGGAATCATGAAATTGTTAGGAAGTATCCCCAGAATGTTGGCCACCATTTGGATAGGGAAAATCCATCTCTAAGGAGCATATTAAAGAATTGGGAAGAGCAGACCCGATTTATGCATGGGACCAGGGTTCAAACCCTAAGCTTACCTTATAATGGACGTGTGCCTGTGCTATGCCAGCAAACCCAGGACTTAATTCCTAATAAAGGGAAGGCAAGAGGATTAGCAGTCATCCTCCCACTGTGCCAGGCACACAGTGAGTGAGCCTGTGATAAGGGGTTTCCCTGTCTGTCCTCCTTTCCACTTCCTTCCCCCATACCCTCATTCTCTTCTTTTACCTGTTTGGAGTTGTTTGATGGAAACATGATCTTTGTACATGTTTAAGATACATGTTTGGTTGCTCTGATCCCTGTGTCCACATCTACTAGATAAAATCAACCCAGGCTAATTAGCATTTCTATTAGTTTAATGTTTACCTATCCTTATGGTGAGGACATTCAAAGTCCTTTCATATTTTGTTGTATTTTGAACTATTAATGCACCTATTTATTTCAGAGAGAGAGAGAGGAGGGAAGGAAACAAAGAAGGGAGGGAGGGAGAAAGGGAATGAGGAAGTAAGAAGAGAGAAAGAAAGGGAAGGAGGGAGAGACGGCGAGAGAGAAACAAAGAAATGGGAGGAAGGAGGGAAGGAAGGAAAGAGAAAGAAAGGAAGGAAGGAAGGAAGGAAGGAGAGGGAAAAGGAATATCTTCAAGGCCTCCAAGCTGATCCAGTGTTTATTCAAAGTCACACCTGTTTAATGCACACAGAGCTGCACCCACAGAAGACCGTACTAGAACAAAGCCTTTAGGTACCAGACGTCTTCATAAAAAGAACAAGAGAAAGTCCTGGTGACTTGCTGCATTTTTCCTAAAAAATTTCAAGTCCCAACACTACCAGCTGCCTGGCAAACAAACCTGGGGCTTGTGCCCCGCCTCCTCAGTGATGAATTAAGATCCTTTTTTTAAAAAAGATTTATTTATTTTTATTGCAAAGCCAGATATACACAGAGGAGGAGAGACAGAGAGGAAGATGAAGAAGAACTGCAAAAAGCTGTTCACATCCACGCACACGAGTGTCCACACACACACACATCTCCCGTGGAAAATGCCCTTGGCAGCATGAGATCCTGTGGACAACGCAAAGCCACTTCCCTCATGCCCAGTGTGGCTGCATCTAAGGCAGCTGCAAGCCCAGTGGAGGGGAAATGCTCTTTTCAACTGGAAATTTTAATTAACGGTGAAATGAAGTGTGAGCATGCCAAAAAGCATCATGTTTCCGGTCGATCTGATTCTGGGGTAAACGTAGACACTTTCTCTGGGAGTTTCTGGCTCCGGGGAGTCACGTGGCTCTGGAGACCAGCTCCACATACTTGCCCTGGTCTCACACTGACCTGGTGCACATTTGTCTCCTCTGGAGGCCCTCCAGATCTCCATCTCTCAATGAGGAGGGCATCACCAGCTCTGCTTTCTGAGGAAGAGAGACTGAAGACCTTAGGCTGTGGTCAAGTGGATGACATACCAGACCACTACTTGCTAGTAATACAATTTCAAACAGCTGGTAGATCCTCGCTAAGTCTCAGTCTTCTCATCGGAAAGGTGGAGCTGCTGAGATGAGATACCTGGTGGAACTATTATAAGGATCAAACCAAACAATACTTGTAAAGTTCTTTGCCCAGTCTTAAAAAAAAAAGCGTCAGCCATCACCATTACATTTGCATTCCAGAATTCCTTATTTCATGGGAAATCAAGGCTTGGGTTACCTCACGGGCCTCAGAGACCATAGACATGAGACGTAACCGTGGTTTATTTTAGAGTGTTCATCTGTTACAGACAGAATCATTTGACGAATGTTATACTTTCAAATCTTCATAGTGGTCCTACAAGGGCAATGCTGTTATGGTCCTCACTCTACTGATGAGAAATAGGTGGGACCATGGTGAAGTGGAGTCTGCAACCCAAGGCCCTACCATGTTTTCTGAAGATTTGTTTGTTTTTATTAGGAAGTCAGAGAAGAGGAGAACAGAGAGAAAAATCTCTGTGCTGATTCACTCCCCCAAGTGACCGCAGAGGCCAAAGCTGAGTCAGTCTGAAGCCAGGAGCTTCTTCTGGGTCTCACACGCAGGCACAGGGTCCCAAGTCATCGGTAGAGACCTCAGTTCATGGGGCCTTCCCTGGGTCAGGCCTTATGCCCAGGGTATGCCAGGCACACAGTGAACGCTGCTTTATAAATGAGCAGAGGGTGAAGGGGTGGCAGCGGTGATTGCTTCCTGGGTGATATGACGGTAAGTGTAAATGGAGCTATGATGAATCACAGGAAATTGCATCATACGGTGGATAAATGAATAGGACCGACATAGTTCCTTCCTTCCAGCTCAGTCAGCATTTTGTGAGCACTGTGTGCCCTGCACTATGCCAGTCCCTGGAATGGTACAGAAGGAATTAATACAGATCATCCATTGAGCACCTCACAGGCTGTGTGCTAGGAGCTGTGTGCTAGGAGCCGGTAGAAGACAACATTAGGTAGAAAGAGAAGACTCGTTTTTGTCTGACTTGTGTTTAACTTCTGATACCAGACAGTACATTGCTAATATCTTGCTTCTCTTCTGCCATCTCCTTCTCTCTTCTCTCCTCTACCTCTTTCCCCATGCCTCTCCACCCTCCCCCTGCATAGTTTCAGAGACCTCATGACTATTCCCCACCTTTTCGATTTGGGACCGTGCCTAATGGAAGTACAGAGAGAAACATTCGGAATAACTATCCCTACATGCATCAGTACATGACCAAGTTTAACCAGAAGGGTGTGGAGGACGCCTTGGTCAGCTTGAAGACGGGGTAAGGACTGTGCTTTTCATTTCTTGGCAGGCCCGCCAGGTGACAACCCTTACAGAAATGGTCGCCTCTGCCTTGGTGCTTATCTGTGCCTGCTGTTGTTTTCTGAAGAGCGGCTGCCATGCAGATGGACCCCAGGGGAGGGCTGCTTTTGTGTATCTGAGGAGCATCACAGCATCCATTGGAATTGAATTGAGGAAAAGCAAATCCATGACGTTTTGATATACAGCAAATCAGAGAGGTTTCTTAAACACAATGAAGTTGGCCCAACTCCATGGGATTTAAAAAAACTAAATAGAAAGATGTAAGAAGGTTGAAAGTTTAGCGAAAGCAAAGATTTTTAGCACGAGTGTTTTGCAGCACACTGATAACAGCTTTATGTGAACACTTGTATGAGAATATCTCATAAAATTCCTGCAGACTAAATTAAAAGATAAATTTGCTTTTATGTAAAAAAAAACTTGAGCTGCACGCATAGTTTTTTTTTAATAGTACTCAACTTTTCATTTTTTTTTAATAAGACCCTTCATAGGCATGGATTTCAAAATAAATTCATTCCCAAGTAAACTTATCTTTTAATTCCATGTTCCACCAACTCTTTGAAGTAGCCCCGTGTACAACATTGATAAAAGGGAAAGAGAATGTAGAGAACAAAGCAGGAAGAACTCGAGTTGTCTCTCCAAAGATGCAGCTGGTGTTCCTGCGTGCTGCTGGGCATTCCTGGGGCGTCCAGCGCACGCTTGATGGCTGGAGCTGTGAAAGGAAGATAGCACCTTGAGTAAGATAAGACTTCGCTGAGATAGTGCCCTGGTTGGAAGCTTCACGACTCCCTGTTTGTCCCGTGGCCTCGGACAGTTATGTAATCCCTCTAAGCCTGGTACATTAATTAGGAATCATAATAGGACCTCATCCATAAGGATTCGGTGAGAACTAAAAGGAAATATGATGGGAAGACCTTTGCATAGTGCCCGCCACGTTCACAGCATCCGATTGTTAGGGCTGTTTTTTTTTTTTTTATCACAGAGGTTAAAACTCATTGCTCAGACTCTTTAGAAAGTCGAGGATGTGTGAAATGCGTTTGGAAAGGGATTCCATTGGATATGATTCATTTTCAATGAAGACACTGTTTAATAAGAGAAGTTTTGATCATCCAGCAGGATAACCTGCATTTCAGCTTATCTGTGGAATGGGTTTTTGTTTCCACTGTGGTTCTTCAACCACCACACACTGATAGGGTGTTGCTTTGGAACAGTGAGCACAAATGGGAATGACTGCCTAGAAACAATGGCAGTCAGTCACCTGGCTGCCTCTTCATCCGTTTGTTACTCAGAGTACAAAAGGAGGAAATGAGTTGTTTTGAATTTTCTCAATCTCTTTACATTATGTGTGTGTGTGTGTGTGTGTGTGTGTGTGTGTGTGTAATGAAAAGTATTAGAGAAATGGAAATCATCCTTGGATACAAATTGTACAAATTGTTTTCAGAAATCCATATAATAATTATAACATCCATCTCAGCAAAGCCAGCAGATGGCGGGTTCACTGACTGTAAACTCAATCTCCCATGTGGAGGATGCTTTGCACAGTTAACTTTAAATCCAGAAACAAGAGCCAAAGTGGTATGACTTTCTCTCTCTCTCTCTCTCTCTCTCTCTCCCTCTCTCTCTCTTTTAATAGTTCAACACACCCTTGTGCTCTTGGAAGTCCAATTTTAGTGTGGTTAATGTTACAGGGAGGGAGTGACCATGTGCACGTTTAATAAGCTCTTCATTTCATTGTTTAATTAAAATTTGAACAGGTAATATATTTATGTGACTCAAAAATCAAAAAGGATATAAAGAGATGAACAGTAGTGCCTAGTGTCCCCTGTAGTAACCACATTTACTGAGTATCCTTCCAGTCTTTCCTTCCAGATATTTACATATCTGGGCATAAAAAAAACATGAGGTTATGTCTTTAAGATTCACCATCTCCCTTTATGTGGATGCATCATGCTGGTTTTAGTCAACCCCTGGTAATGGGTACATGGACAGCTTCCAATATTTTCTTTCTGCCAACAATGGGGCAATGATTATTCTTTGATCTGTCACATAGATGCAGAATAAACTTATTGAAATAATGGATCGAGGGCAACATATAATTGTAATTACCACAGATATAGGCAATTTTCCCTCCAAAGATAATTCATACCTAAACCATTGACATACACTATTGCTACAAGGCACTTTGGTTTGGGGAAAACCTGAATTAAAAGGCAAGCTTCTATTACTGCAAATGTATAATTTTTTTCATAATACTTACATATACTTATTCATACTACTTATATTTTTCAAAATGCATTTTCAGTAAACTCTTTTGTGCTTCCCCATAGTTTTTGCCAGCAATATGCAATTATTAATATTCTAAAATTTTACTAAGACTACAGATTTTAAAAAGTGCCAACATACCTTTTCACTTGCATTTATCATATTAATAATAAACTGTAGGCATATTTTTATTTTTAATCAAGAATCATCTGCAATTTCTTTTTTGAAACTTTTGCCAATTTTCCTATTGGTTTATTGGTCTTCTATTGATGTTCCCCTTGGAGAAAGGAGCCTGCTATTTATTAGATGATTGCAAAGATTTTCCCACAGGCTTTTGTTTGTCTTTTGAGCTTGCTGGTGATATGTCACAAAGTTCATGGAAAGTTTAATTAGAAGATACATTTATTTTGGGACATTTTTGAAACCCATTCATATAGGGGTTCTTCTGAAAGTTAAGGGAAAACGTACAATATGAAAGTTATGCATGGATTTAGACGTTGTTTTGCATGAAAATAATTTCATCTTTTAATATCATTTCCATGATTTTTTTGAAAATCAAAACTATATGCACACACATATGTATATACACATACACACATACACAATGTATAGAACAAATACCAAGTTAATTGACAGTCTGACAGCTGATGAAACCACAGCAACTCCATTTTCTTCCCAAAAGAAACTGACTCAGGGTTCAATTTGGAATTGCCAGGGCTCTGCGAAGTTGACTGTTCTGCAGAGCAAGTTCCTTCAGATTTTATTTTACTTGCTGTTTATTACTCGTTAAGCAGAACAACACACTGGTTCATTTCCAGCTGTGACGTTTGGAAGCAGGTGTAGACACTGCCATTCAGAAGGCTGCTCTCAATGGAATAGCACCATCTCTAGAGAAATCAAATTGACAGTGACCTGGTTTCTGAGAACCACCCCCACACTGCAAGTAAATCCCGCTGAATAACTGTTGTCATAACATAGCATTAGGGGCTTTTTCTTAATGAAAAGTAAAAAACAAAAACCAAAAAAACAAAAAAACCACAGACATTTTTTCTTATATTGTGCTTTGAATTGCTTCCTATTAAATTCAATTAAAACAATATTAAAGGATTTTCAAGGATATCCATAAAAGTGCAATAGGAAGAAAAAATGGTGGGGAGGGAGTTGAGTAAAAAGTGATCAAAATCCTTTGAACTCAAAGGTGGATGGATGGAGAACGGAAGGAAGAGGAGGGACAGAGACTACATAAAGCAATCAAGGCGCTTTCACGGATGCTGCCAGGTGTTTGGGGTTATAACCTTCATAGTATTTTATATTTAATGAATTTTTAGTAGGACAAGTATCGTTAATGCTAATCAGAAAAGGAAATTCTTCATGCATAATTTTTTCTTTCTCCCTGAATTTCTGGCTTGTAATTGTGGATCCACGTGTACTGTTTACATACGTTGAATCAGCAGGCCAATGACCATGTCTTTGGTTTCCTCCATTAAACCTTTAAGCTTTTGTTGGGGAGTTCCTACATGTAGTGAGTAGATGATATGACTCTGAGCTAGAGGAATGTACATTGACTTAACTTTCATCCTGCCCTGATGAGCACTGATGGACTCCCCCAGGAAAGAATTATTTATAAACTGTTATTATCTTTCCCAAGAGCAACTTCATGAGACCCTCCCAGACTTATGTACCATGGACAGCGCTGTTGGTTGGGTGGAATCTTGTGTTTCTGTTCTTGCTTCTGTTTTAAGGCTGACTTTTATCTTCTGGACAACACCACTTTTGTAGTTATTCGGAGTTTTCAGGTTTCGGCTTGGGATACTACATAATTATAGCACTTCCTTGGCAACCTGAGAATCTGTGTTCTGACTTTCCCCCAGGCCCTTGCTGCCAGTCTGCATCTGAATTTATTTAACTCAAATCGTTTTATCCATACGTTTAAACCTTATTTTACCCCCATGGTACATCAGCTGCAGAGCTGCTAGGGGTACTGAATGAGGTCTTTCTATCTAGCAGGTAATGTGTTTTGGAAGCTCACCTGTTTGCCTGCTGGGTACTGCTCATAGCCACCCCAAGAGATGGTGACCCACCAGCATGATTTCCAGCCACAGTGGAGGAAACAGGCACAGATAAGCATCAGGGTGCCCAGAGTCAATCCTTCTCCAGTGCTCGTGGTTTGAGTCACAACTTTAGCAAGATAATAAATGTGACTATTCATTATTCAAGCACCATTAGCTAGATTATTTCTAATGATCCATTATGTACTACTCAAAACATGATACTGAGTAACATAACTTTAAAATGTCTTTTTTTTTTTAATTTCCTCCTCCCCATGAGATGAGGGAAAGTCATGGATGCATGGTGGAGATTTGGGTGTGATAGCAAGAGACAGACCAGGGGGCTTTAAGAAGTTCGTGGAAATAATGACTTGAAAGATGGAGTGATTTTTCTGTTAATGTTTTGAGCAGTCGGTAAGCTCAGTGTGTATACCTCTCTCTTGCGCTCACTCTCATCCTCTCTCTTCCTCCACCTTCAGTCCTTTAGTTACTCCTGTTTGCATTTTCTCTACATCCTTCTTCAAAAATTGTTTATATATAAATGAAACAGGAGAGACAAAGGGAAAGACCCTCTCTGATCCACTCCTAAAGCAGAGGCAAGGGCCGGAGCTGAGCAGGTCCCAAGCCAGGAGCTTCTTCCAGGTCTCCCACA